AGACACTTATTAGATGTATAACTCTGGGCAAGTCCCTTGACCCTGTTTGACTTAGTAAATGAGTTGGAGAGGGAGATGGCAAGCCACTGTATCTGTCAAGAAAACCCCAAATGGGGTCATGAAGAGTTGGACATCACTGAAACAACTCAGCAACAGCAATAAATTCCTGACCAAGATTCTCCTTTTCAATATAACCCAACAAGTGGTCATTCAGAACCAAGCACAACACTCCAGAGCTGTTCTTTATACTTTGACTGCATCTTTTAGTGCCATTAAGTTCAGTCTAACTTGAGGCTTAAGCATTCCAACTGTTATGAGTAAAATTTGACAGAGTTAAACTGAGGCACATTCTCTGCAAGCAAGATGAGATTTTTTTTTTTAAAAATAGGATATGAACCTTCCGATAAGAATGGATCAATGGCTCTTCTTCACTTTTAAGCCAAAGACCCCAAGATGAAGACGTAGCTAATTTTTATAAGGTTAGAACAAAGAATAGAACAGAGTAAGTGACATCATGGGGTTGAGGACAACATGATTGGCTACATAGCGGAGGCGTGGGAAACAATATGATAGGTTGGAAGTTGGAAATGAGGGGCTAGCAATGACACCTCCCCTTCTGTCCTGTGACTAAGAAGTGCTAATTGTTTGAGTCCATCTGCAAGGTTAAAAGGTAGTGTGCCAGACTTCTTTGGAGAGCAAACCGGACATCCTTGAAGGATAGTTTGGTATGGTGGAAAGATACTAGACCCAACTTCCTGATGTCTATCCGCATCTGCCAAGGACAGCAGAATTCCTTGAGGCAAGAATAGAAAAGTGATAGTAGAAGAGCTGGACTTCTGAACCTAATTCATTACAGGCCAGTTGCATTTCTGCACTAAGTTCAGAGACAAAGAACCATGATTTAGGCACTTACAGGACCAAACAATTAATTATAAATAGGATCAATAAAAATAATACAGAATCAATTAAATCTTTTCAAAACTCAGTTATGCAGTCTCAGTATTCATTTATGCAAGTGATCTATGGTTTCATGGATGTATTCCCTCAAGCATTCATGCTTATCCATCCTATACAACTCTTATTAATATCCTTCCCTCAGTTTGTCACAGACAATCCAGACATTATGCTGCGGGGCTTTTTTGCTTTCTGTTGACATTATGAAGATGTTAGTACATCATGTAGACTGTCCACCAGGTCTTATTCATCCTTTCCATGAAACCAACCTATCTTCTTTTTCTTATCATACATTTCTTTGATCATATTCTACACATACCCTTTCTCCTTTGTATTCCCTTGTTTGTAATGTAAAGTTACAACACGTTCCAAAACCACTTCTTGTACCTACCTTTCCATTGCACTTTGGGAGATCCTTAATTTCAAGTGTTTTGAAACTATAGTATTCCATGACTTATAAGCATACAATATTACAAAAATATTGATATTCAAAAAAATAGACCTTTATTTCAGGGAGAAGTTTTCTCAAAGAAAATATTTGTAATGTTAGGTGTGAGATTTCTGTGTAGGCTAAAGTCTTTGGCTTCTCTCATTTCTTATTCTTGAACCGTATTTTTACTACCCTCACCAGTTCCCACCTTTGCACTGAAGTTATCAAGTATAAAACTGTATTTTGATTTCATTTGGAGAGTCTTAGAAAGCTCTTTGTATAATTTCTTTACCTCTTTATGCTCTTCAACAAATATTAGCTTATAAGTTTACATGTGTTTTCACAGTGACATTTTTGCAAATTCTTATGAGCACTGCAATACAAGATAAGCAGATTCCCCATGAAATGATGATTCTTGTTGTCTTTGGAAAAATGGTAAAATAAATTCCAACACTTTTATTTATTTATTTTTCCTAAGAGAAGCCATGGGCCCTCTATTTAGTTGTGCCTTCCTTCTCTGTCTTCTGAGTTCACTTACATTGAGAATGTCGAAATTGATATAGTTCATATCCTCTAACAGTTTTAAACTTGGTGGTCACTGGATAGGGAGCTCATGTTTAGAGTTTAACATCTAAGTAAATATTATATAGATGGTCTAGAAACTGATTTTTAGGACTCTCTACTTCCTTTTACACCACTGCAGAAGTGGAAAGGAATTACACAAGACTCCTTTCATGGGGTGCCATGGCCAAAGAAATCATTACCAAGTGGCCAATTTCCTGGTGATGACCCTTTGCATATTTAGTTAAGCTAGTCAGAGCAGAACTTCTATAATTTCATATAGTGTTCTTCTATATTCCTAGGCTCATAACTCCAAAGCTAGAAGTGACCTCTCACATATTTTCATTCTTCTAATCTGGTATCAATCAGTTTTAACCAGTTGATGGTCTGATTGCACATAGATACCTGATTCTAGAATGACTCCTAGGTATATGCATATGTGTGTATGTATGTATGTGTGTGTGTGTATACATATACATATGTATATGTATACACACACACATACACATAGAAAATATATACAAAATAAATAATTTGGGGGTAGGGGAATGGAGAGAAACAGTAGCTAGAGAGATCAGTAAAGGTTTTATGTAGGTAGTACTTGAGCTAGTTTTAAAGTGAACTAAGGATTTTAAGAGGCAGAGGTGAGAAGGAAGATTATTCTAGGCATGTGAGATATAGCCTGTGATAGGAAGTAGAATTCCCTTTAGGAAGAATGTTAAAGAGGCCAGTTTGTCTGGATAATAAGAGTGTGTGAAGGGGAGAAACATATAGAGGCCGTACAGGTAGGTTGGGGCCAAGTTGTGAAAGGCTGTAAATGCCAAACTGAGAGTTTCTATTTGACTTTAGAGGTAATAGAGTTAATGGAGTTTACAAAGTAATTTTGAGGGGAAAACACTAGCAATTGAGCAGATCAGGAAAGGCTTCGTTTGCGAAGGTAGTGCCTCTCATCTCCTTCCACGCTGCCTACAGATCCTTAAAAATCTCCTCATTTCTTCCTACCATCCTTGATAGTCATTGTCCTATGTCTCTTCTCCCTTTTGTGGCTGAGCTTCATCCTCTTGAATATTCTCTTCTCCAAGTTTTCATGACCCTTGCTCTTTACTGGCTCTCCTCTTGTCTCTTGAGCTGGTTTTTCTTCCTTGTGATGTTTATTAGTTGTGGATGTCCCCCCAAGTCTCTGTCATGGGCCTTCTTCTCTTTTCCTTGTATTCTATCTCATTTGGTGACCTCATCAGCTCCCAGGGTTCAATTATCATCTCTGTGTATACGGTTCCCATGCATCACCAACTAGCTTAATGAATGTCCCATAATCATCTCAAACTTAAACAGAACTCCAAAACAGAACTCATTTTCTTTCCCTCTAAATCTTCCCCTTTTCAGAATTTCCCTATTATTGTCAAGGGTGCCACCATCCTTCTAATTACCTTGACTCCTACCTTCAGTGTCATCCTTAAATGCCTGCTCTCATCCCACTTAACCAATCTGTTGCCAAATCTTGTCAGTTTTTAACTTTACAACATCTCATTTATATATCCCCTTCTCTCCACTTATACGGCCATCCCACTAATTTAGACCCTCTTGCCTAGATTGTTACAGTGGCTTTCTCACTGGTCTCCCTGCCTCAAGTCTGTTTCCACTTCAGTCCATCCACTACTCAGCTGCCAAGGTGATGTTTTTCTAGTGTTATATTTGGCAATGTTGCACCCTTGCTCAGTGAGCTCCAGTGGTTCCTGTTATCTCTGCATCATATATGAAGACTTCTGTTTGGCATTTAAAGCCCTTCACATCCTGACCCCTTCCTACTTTTTTTAGTGTTCTTACACATTACTCTCTTCCATCAACCATGTGATTCAGCTGCACTGGTCTACTGACAGTTCCTTGAATATAAAAATCTATCTCCATCTCTCTCCTTTTGCACTGGTTGTCCTCCAAGCCTAAAATGCTTTGCTCCTTCCCCTCTGCCTGTAAGAAGTGTTTTACTTCTAGACTCAGCTCAAATCCCACCTTTTTCAGTAGGCCTTTCATTATTCCTAAGCTTTTAATATCTTCTCCTCTCAGATTACCATATGTAGCTAGTTATTGTATGCATCCTTATATGTATCTAGTTATTTGTCTTCCCTGTTTTGAGGTATATTCCTCAAGAGCAGGAACTTTTTTTGCCCTCTAAAGAAATTTAAATTCATTTTTTTAATAGTGAAAATTTATTTTCTCCTCGTTAGAAAAAAAATCATAGTTGTCAGAAGGTGGGTAGCTTCATCATAGTTCTCTAGAACCATGAATAGTCATTGCATTGATCAGAATTGATTGAGTTTTCAAGTGTTGTTTATTTTTACAGTGTTGTTGATATTATATAAATTATTTTCCTGGTCCGCTCACTTCAATTACATTGCTTTACATCAATTCATACAAATCTCAGGTTTTTCTAAAAGTATTCTTTTCATCATTTCTTATGGCACAATTATATTCCTATACCATAGAAATGTTATATACCATAATTTGTTCAACCATTCCCCAGTGGATGAGCACTACCTTATTTAGTTTATAATTCTTTGTTATTATAAAAAATGAGCTATGAATGTTTTTTGCAGTACGGGTCCTTTTCTTCTTTCTTTGATATTTTTGAGATGTAATTTGCTTTTCTTTGTATCCTGAGCATTTACAGGTACATAGTAAGTGCTTAAAATATGACTGTTGATTGCCTGACACATTATAGGATATAAAAAGAGGCAGAGATGCCCATTTCCATTATTAGTCATTTTTTAAAGTCTTGTCACTGTGAGTCATATAATAATTATTTGGTCTAGATAAGTATTCATTTTACAGGAGAAAAAAAGAAGTGGAAATGATTTTTATAACAACAACATGTCAGTAGTCGGAGTGAAATTGGAATTTTTAATTCCTAATTATTTTCTCTCAATTCTACCACTAACTATCATAACAGGATTAACTAGGATTAGTTTTCTGCAGTTATAATAGAGTTAAGGCAATTTAAATTTAGTTTTCTTTTTCCTTTTTGTCTGATTTTTTCCCCAATTATTTCATGGCATTTCAGTGCTTCAGAGAATTTAGATGAGCTCTCTTCCTCCAGTAGCTGGTTACTTAACCAGAAGCACATTAAGAAAAGGAGAAAAGACAGAACAAGACTGAGATCTCCATCCTTGACTCTCATGAGCACAGCAGCCCGAACAAGGCCACTTCAGAGTTTCCACAAACGAAAACTCTACAGATTGAGCCCCGCTTGTTATTGGATTCCAAAGGTAAGATTGTTTTTGGTGAGAAGACATGAACAGAAATATCAGCATTTATACATGTATATCATATATGATAGAATGCCCATTGTACACAATTTCAGAAAATCATTACTCATCCAGCTTGGTTTAGTGGAATGACTTGGATTTGGAATCAAAGATTTGGGTTCGAATTCTGACTCAGCTACTTACTAACTCTTGATCCTAGGAAACCTCTTTGGGACTTTATCTGTAAAATAAGGTTGTTAAACTAGTTGATCTATAAGCGCCCTTTGATCTCTGTGTCCTAAGATCCAGAAAGGGTTAGCCTAGATTGTCTTCAGAAATCACAGGGATTCTGATTGGAGCCATAGGCCAGTAGATGTCTGGATGAGATGAAGCTGACCTCAGAAAGACCTAGGTTCAGGTTTCACCTCTGAGATACACTGGCCATGTGACCTTAAACAAATCACTCAAGACGAATTTCATATTCCACATACCCCACCTTCGCAGGAGGACTTTCTTGGTCTTTCCTCCCCCTAGCCACCCTACCAAGTGCCTTCCCTCTGAGATTACCTTCCGTCTACTCTGAATATATGTTATATAGACACTGTGTATTTTCCATTAGAATGTGTGCTTCTTGAGGGCAGGGACCATATTTTGTGCCTTTCACGCGTCCCCAGTAGTGATCACAGGGTCTGGCACATAGTGTTTAATCAATTGACTTGTTGACTGATTTAACCTTTTAATGCTCCAGAGATTCTTTCGTTGTAAGTTGTAGAACTGTTGCCAGTCTATCAATGCAGATAGAGGGGATTTCCCTTGCTGGGAGTTTACCACACCAAAGAAATTACAGTTTCCTCTCGACACCTCTTCCCTCCCCCTACTTCCTGCCGCAAAAAAATTACCGCTTCCATTTTGCTTTGAAGTGATTTGCACAACACTGCTTGTCAGTTGTTGATTTCAGAGATCCCTTTGTTTGCCCTCCTGGGCACTGTAGAGCACAAATGAAGCTGTACTACACTCTGTTTCTTCCTTGCTTCCATCTGTTTCTTGTACTTAACAGGAAAAAACTGAGTTCTAGTATTCAGTTTCTTTGTGCTCATTACTACCTGGCTTGCTTCTACCTATGTGCCTTCTACTTTTTCTCCCTAAGTAAGTAAACCCTCAACTTCATTGTTTTTCAGACTAAACGTCTTCCTATTTGCATTCTAGTTGGCCTCATGTGGCATCTTTCTGGTCCCCCATTACTTACTAGATTGGCCATTCTCTGGCTTTTCCAATGATACTGCTATGTGTACCGTGCCCTTGCTTTCTTGGCCTGGGTGTCAGATAAAATTAGGAAGCTAGTAGGAAGACTGTGGGAAGACTGCCCTGGCACCAGCCCAAATGCCATTTTAAAACAGCTGCCCCAGCATAGTCATTTTACAGATGATTTAAAGCACTGTGACATGGCTCTGAAGAACTAGCTTAACATTTAAATTAGAGCTATAGAAAGGATAGGCAGGGCAGGACTCTATGGCAGTAGTACAGTCACAGGATTTATTTGGAAGACCTATGGCTAGAAAGGCTTGCCAGAGGAAGCTGGTGGCTAATGGGAAACTGAAAGGGTAAAGAAGAAGGCTAATTGATTCCATATCTTAGCGATTCCATAATAAGCTGGATGAATGGCACTGGGAGGACATAGGGGGAAATAGGCCTGATTTATACATCTTCATTCAAATATGCAAACACAGGCTACTTGAGTGCCTTTCCATAACATGCCCTGTTATAGTCCTATTGCTGCTGTTACCAGTAAGAAGAGAGCTTAAATTAGAGTGAAATCACACATTATAGTAGTTGATATTTATAGTGTGAAGCACTTTGTAAAAACATGAAAAATTAGGAGGTTGAATGAGATGGCCTCTAACATGTCTTTTAGCTCTAGAACCATGATCCAAGGATTCTTCTTTCCTCAAAACGATTATGGATTGATGGGCACATTTTTTTCCTTCTCTAATCACTATGTCATCAGGATAGTGATGGATGTTTTGGCATCGAGCCAAAGAGGAGCAGCCTGTGATCTAAACAGGTAAAGACTCCACTCCTTTACAAATCTAAGAGGTTGAAGGAGAGCTTAGTCTGATCCTGGGGGTAAAAGTAGGATGGAGTAACAAAGAAAAAGTGAGCCCAAGGGTCTAGGCCAGAGTTTTTCAACCTTTTTTGTGTCATGGATCCCTTTGGCAGTCTCTAAAGCTTCTGGACCTTTTTCTCATAATAATGTTTTAAGTGTATAAAATAAAATATATAAGATTACAAAGGAAACCAATTATATTAAAAGGTTTTAAATATTTTAAAAATATTTTAAAAAATGAATTCATGCACTCTACATTAATAACCCCTATTCAGACCTAGATTAAGAAGAGATCTTTGGTATGATAATAGGAAGCACCAAAAATTGATTATTCAGTGATTTAAAGCTTGTTTATCATTACTTTTATGTTTGGATTTATGAGTCTAAACAGCACAAAAATTTATTTTCACCTAATTTAAGTAAGTTACAACTATATGTGACAGTAGTGCCTAGGCTATGGCTTAAATGATGAGGCTTTACATATTTTTGTTTATTAATTAATTAATTAGTTAATCTATCTATCTGTTTATTTAGGTGAGGCAGTTGGGGTTAATTGACTTGTCCAGGGTCACACAGCTACTAAGTGTCAACTGTCTGAGGCCGGATTTGAACTCAGGTCCTCCTGACTCCAAGGCCGAATCTCTATCCACTAGAGCACCTAGCTGCCCCCGGCTTTACATGTTTAACTGAGAATATGAGTCATCATAACCTTGCCACTTAATTATATTTTCTTTCTGTAACAATAAACATAACAACATATAGCTACTGTACAGTGTGTCCCACTTCTAAGGGAAGTTTTAGTAACTGAAAATGTTAATTTAATAGTTTAAGTTCTAATAGCTTAAAGCATTACAAAGACTTCTGGAACACACAAAGGGTAGAATACAGTTAGAGCAAGAGCAAGGATTAAAAGAATACAAACACCTCAGTATAATTGATACATTTATCAGTGACCCTGCTTTATCTAACCCAAATAATATTTCTGAGCTATTGCAGAAAAATTCTCCTTAGTTCTACTTTGGCTCATCTAAAGTTTGGCAATGGCTTTAAGATCTCTAGCCAGCTTCACCAGGTGTAAAAATTCCGGTGATCTTTCATTCATCAATCCTTTGCAAAGTATGAAAAGTCGTGCTTAATTCTAAAGGAGTTAAAAAGATAATAATTTTTCATTTGACAATAATCTGCTGAGTATTTTTTACAAAGCCCCATGCTAAATTTAGGGGAAATGCAAAGATAAATAAAGGTATGTTCCACTTTCCCATGATGTTCCTAATCTACTAGATCGTAGAATTATTTATGCATGTTAACCTGTTGGGAACTGAGCAAAAATGGGCAGTGTGAGAACGAGAAAAGGTGGCGTTAAAAGTCTGTATGCACTTGAGCACAGTCTTTGTAAGAGCAACTTCATCCATTGGGCTTTAACTAAGAACGTTTTGCTGTCTCCATTGTAACTCTTCAAGTCAGGGCTAGGATCTCTGATTCCACAGCGGAGTGTTGGCTTTTGTTCTTCATAGTTTGGCAAAAGATAGAAGTAAAGATGATAGCCACACCATGCTTGCATAATAGAATGTAACTCCCTTAGTGATACGTGTTGAATGAAAAAAGGAGTCATTTTTCCCTCTCCAGGGAAAGAGCTTCTTCATCCTATCTGGTATTTGACTGGTAGGTATTTAATTATTTGGTTTGTAGAGTCTTAGTGTGAACACTTCTGGCAGGTTTCCAACTAACTTCTAAACCTGATACTAATTTTTAAAGGGACTCCTTTTCCCAAAAAAAATTGTTTTAATCATTTAAACAATGCAGTGTAATTCTCTGAATAGGTGACAAGTTGTCTCCTTTTAAACTTGCGTCAAGAAAACAGAACAAAGCATGAGACTGTATCTGTAAATTACCTCAAGTGTATATGTATATATGTATACACACACACACACACACACACACACATACACACACACACACACACAAATACATGTGTGTGTTTAATGTTGTAAACCAAAATGCCTGATGAGCCTATCACAGGTTCATTCACTCAATGATCACTTTTTAAGCACTTACTATATGCTACATTCTTGGAGAGATTAAAAAAAATAATTAAAGACATGCTTACTATACTCATGGAATTCATAATCTAAAATATTTTAATTCTGCATATGAGAGCTAGCATGTGTAGGGGATAAAGGTGGTTGTTGTGTTTATTCTTCGTTCTTCAAGGAGGACCATCACATCAGGAAGATGATTGCAATTGATTTGAGTGAGGGAGGGCTATGCAACATCACCAGCCTCACTTTGTCCTGCAGAGCCATCTGGGTCCAGTGGCCAGATATTCATCAGATGACTGGAGATGGCCCGGGATGCAGTGGGAGACTTTGGCTCTTTTAAGCTAAGGTCTTTTCAGGTTCTCATGAGGTACCCATTCAGTGAATAGGTCTCTTTAAGGAGTGAGTCAAGGGATGGCCCCTTTAATAAAAAAAAAAAATCAAACTGTTAGAGGAAGACCCTCAGGGTTGCTGGCCAAAAGAGGAACAGTTACTATTTACATGCACTCTGAGCCAGGAGAGCCCAAAAAATAGCCATTAAGTGGTACTTGGGCAGGGACCTATTGTCCAATCCAGGAGCTCAAGAGTGAATTGGGTTTAAGGTTTGGTCTTTGAGAAAGAAATCTAGCCACTAAACCTCAGAGAGGATAAGGAGAGGTGATAAAGAACTAGATTTGGCTGTAGGAAGGTAGGAGTTCTAGTCCCACCTCTTACCTCTACTGACTGTGTGACCCCCAAGAAGTCACTTAACCTCTCAGTGCTTTAGGCCTGTGGTGTCAAACTCAAATAGGAACTCTTGCCAAACATCTTCCTATTACGTTTTAATCTGGACGCATCTGCTTTAGGAAATTTTTTAAGACTATAGATCATGTAGAAGTTGT